AAGGTGGGATGTTTTCTTCCTTGCCCAAGTGTTTCCAATATCACCTTGTCATTGCGTGATTGAGAACAAAGTCAGTGCGCTTTTTGGATGGTTAGAGATCCACTAGGCAAGGCTATGGAAGCACCGGCTGTTGTCACTTTGCTTTGGAGTGCGCAATAACTTTTTTTCTGTTCCGGACATGAGCTCCATGTCCAGCAACTCACCTCCGACGGATAGCTCACTTTGCAGGCTCAACCATGAATACATAAAAAACGGCTAAACAGGAGTAGTTTACTGCCACTCGACCACGGTATTATGGAACTCCTAAATGGATCTTTGAGAAGTCATCCGCATACTTCAACAGGAGGTTTTAATCGTGGTGTTTGGGATAAACCTTTAAATAAGTGAAACGATGCGTTTGAAACATTATTGCAGGTTTTGTGCGTGAAAGTATGGCAGATGATATCATTCTGGAACCGAAGTTAATCGCAAGGGAGTATCTGCGAAAGTGGTTCACACTGGATATTATCTCATCTCTACCACTTGATTACATCCTTCTGGCCTTTGACAACGGCACCGAGCAAATTGCACAAGCTGGTATGTTTTTTTGCAAAAGCAACATCCATCCACCCTTGCTGGTTGTCTTTCATTCCCACTAGATGGGTCGCTGCTTGATCAACTTCCGTTAACCCTGTTTGAAGCACTTATACCGTTTAAAACTGAGGCCAACCCTAGAAGTAGCGCTAACTGAAGAGAACGGACTACCGGAAGGCAAAATAAGCATCACTTACTGTGTGCCATTAAGACTTGTGGCCAGTTGATAAACGTCGAGAAGTTGTGTGGCTCTTGCAAAATGCAAAATCTCACTGCATCTTTTGTATTCTTAGGTCAGGCGCTAAAAATCTTTAGGCTTGCTAAATTGCTTAGCCTTTTGCGCCTCTTTCGTTTGTCTCGACTTTTGCGATATGTTGGTGAATGGGAAAAGGTAAGTCCGGGCTACCAGATGCTACTCATGTTTGTCGTGTTTCATTTTTTCCAACACGCAGCTGGGCAGAAATTATCATCATTATCTGTAGGTTTTTGAAAGAGGCGTGTTTGATTTACTTGTCGAGG